AGTTTCTGAAGAACGATGGTCATATCATTATAGAAAGGCAATTGAGCCTTTGGCATTCCAGAGGGTTAACATGTGAAGATAACTTTGTTTCTGAGGTTCTAATACTCTCTATAAAGGATGAAAAACAAAAGCCCCTGAAAAAAACAATTGCCCCGAGGAAAAGGAACAAAAGAAGATCCCAAAAATAATGTCAGACTCTCCAAACATTCATTAGTGGCAAGGAGCTAAAAATATATTGAATTCAGACATTTTCCAGCATACAATTTTGCTCTTAAATCCAGTCACTATGAGGTTGGGCTGCACTGCTTATTCACCAGTCTGACACTAGAAATGAGATATGTCTAATGTAGACAGGACCTATTTGCACTGGTGGAATAACAACAATGTAGTTAGTGACACCAGGGTAAATCCCTAACACAGACACACTTACCCAGGTAAATCCCACAATTCATAAAATATTGTTTGCCCTTTGGTGTGTATTGAGCAGAGATTATGTACTCTTCAGTTCTCCTCCTGCATATGTTTCTCTCCCCATTCTAGTGACTGGCTGTCAGAGGAATATGAAGTTTTAGAAATTTCAACAAGGTTTAAATTTACCATGTGACACTTTCTACCCCTGTCACTTTGTTGTAGAAACAGGAAGCACCCCTGAAAGCTGTGGGAAAAGGTTGTTTTCCTTGTTCGAGCCTTTCTGGGGTTTCATCGCCAAGACCAATATAGCCAGAACATTCTAGAATGCAGTATGGGAGAGAAGTCAGTGTTGGATCCCCCAGATTACTCAGAAGACTGAGACTGGAAGTAATATCCATTTCCAATTACAGCCCGATAGTTTGGACTATGCTATACTGAAAGCTGTCATAATGATTTACCTACATATGTGTTGGTTGGCTCTGTTCATATGGTCTGGAACCAAAAATAACTTTTAGGCCTTTGAAATACATCTGTCTCTACAGGTCCTAATCAGTACATAATGTCTTGTTTAGAAACAACATAAATGCCAATGAATTAATTTGGCATAGTGAGAAACTGTACTAATGCACAGATTTTGTAGAGCTCATGTACTCTAGAAGGCTCTTTTAGATCCTACATGCAAATCATCTGAGATGAACTGTGAGCCTGTAGTTGGCATTTGTGGTGCAGAAAACGAAATTGTTGCTCTTGCCAGAGGTTAACACACGCAGAAAATCAAGTCCTAAGGGAAAAGGACCCAGAGAACATTTGTATGGTTTTCTTACTTTGTTGGATAATAATGACCTATACAGGATTAATGGGAAAGTCAGTCCCCTGTTCACATCTTAAAACCAACACACATTATATAGCCCAGCTAACCTTCACTGCAATGGGGAAAAAAACAGAACTGTTGTTACTGTGGAAACAGAATCACTTTTTACTTCAAGACAGAGGGGTTCATGCAGTGTATTATGAGTTGGCAGGCAATGGTCAGGCTGAAAGGCAATGCATACACTGCACCTGACAGGTCCATGCTTGACCTGTGAATGGGGCTATGGATCTCAATTAGTGTGACATTCTGCTTTTTAACTTCAGTCATTATTACCATAACCTCAGTGCAACCTTCTTGTTTATGAAAGGGGAAGAATCTGACTGGTTGCCACACAGGTGTAATTTTTGTTTAGTTCACATTATAATAATTATTTACTATGAATAGTCTAAGCTGCAGCTTGCTATTGATCCTGGCACCATTTCTTAGGGTTAGAACAACAACAACAAAATCACTTAGGATAAGAGATAAAACACCCCTTCCCTACTTTGCATCCTATCTCTTTCTAACAAGAAAACCAAGTTAGGAGGTTTAAAGTGGGGGAAGAATCTGAGGGAAATTAGCACACAAATCCCATTTATATTTAATAGGAGCTGAAAGTGCACTTGAAAATCCAAAATATAATTCTTAAGGGTAGACTGCTGCATGGTATGGTACATTGGGGAAGGAGGTGGGAACATGTTCCTTTATTCTTTTCCATTTTGATTGCATATAAACCCAAATGGTATGTAATAATGATTCTAATCCACAGTGTTTCTTTGGTTCTCAGTGACATGGGGGAAAAAACTCTTATCATGGGCCTCAATCGTTGTTGCTTCAGTATTATGCAAAACAAATAAAAAGAGAAAAAACAAATGGACTAATGGGAGGGCAGGGTCGTTATTCCTGTTATGACCCATTTCAGTGTATGTGCACCTGAAAAAACATCAAAAATAAAATTAGTCTGCTCGTTCCTTCCCCCCAATGCCCACACACGATCATTCTTCCTTCAAAAGCTAAACCACCAGTTTAGTTTCCTTGTAAACTGAGAGGGGACCGGCGCAGGCGAAGAGGAGAAAGAGAGCATTTCATACCTTTCCCTGAGGATTTGTTCTTTCAAACTGTTATAATGGTGCCCAGCTATGACAAAGATGAGCCACTGAGGAAGGCATATAATAAATAATGCACATACATACACAAGGTAGCTTCTAAGGAGAATAAAAGTGGAAACCAGCCTTTTTAGCTCTTGACTAATGTTGTGGAAAACACCTTTTGAGATGCTCTTGTCTGGCTTGACATGCTTTGTTTTTCTGTTTAACAGGGGAAGTCTTCTTGAAGATTAAAGGCCCACTAGAAGACACATATAAAATCTACTGCTATCACCACGACGATGCACACACCATGCTCGAATCCTATGAAAAGGATGAAGCACTGAAGCAGCATTTAAAACACTGTGTACAGTCCTTAAAGTAAGATCTTTTCAAATGATGATATCCATCCATAGTCAGCTGCCTGGCAGGGAACATTTTAAATGGAGATAGATGAAAGGTCCCCTGTAAATCCGGAGTTTTATGAGGTTGGCTGGGAGCTCTGGCTTATGCTGCTTTCATGAAAAGATGACAAGCCAGGGGCCATGATTAGATTTCTTGCTCTCTGGGATGGCCAAAAATAGCACAAGGAAGGTTTTTCTTCCTTTAGCTTCAGTGCCCACACTGGCAGAGAAATGCAGTATTAGAAAAGGTGTTGAGAGTACCTTGTCCAGACCTCCCAAAGACCTCACGCACTTCCCCTATCTACTGTAACTCTGTTAAATATACATGCACAGAATAACGTGACTGGAATTAAAATGTCATGTGATGATAGCTATTTGCTTTCTCTAATGACATACTCATAATTCTGTGTCCCTACATCTTTCTCAGGCTACAGGGATGAGAAGCAAGTGCACTGTTAGATACTGTGCGTTGTGGGCATTAGAACTCACAGTTAAGACATGCTGTGATTGCCTGAGTGAATTTGTTCAGTACCACATAACTTCGTTTCCAGTTCTTTAGGGAAGTTCTATTCAGAGCTGGCATGGAACAGGATAATGTGACTTATTCCTAAACCCAGCCATGTGAATCTGTTTCATCTGTTGATGTAGAGCACCTCCATCCCAATACCCACATTTTCTTTCCATCTCAATTTTGCCTTCTCGTCCAATGGCCTATCTTTGACCCCCCCCCCCCCAACTCTGTTCTTTCTGGTTAATCCTTAATCTTTTTTCAGGAACTAATTGGGAAAAATCACTATGTGTATTACATTGTGGTTTTTATTTATTTGTTTGTTTGTTTATTGTTTACAGTGACTAAAGATGGCAAGTAGGAACTTTAATATCTGCTTCAGCAAGTGGCAGAAATGTTAGTAAAGAAAGAGTTGAAAGAACACAATCAAAATATATAGCTGTGGTCATCTGAATCTGTTATTGTCCGATAGAGAGTATGGCCCAAAAGTGGGAATTAACTAGAGTTCCTACCAAATATAGACTCCTTTTCAAAACACATTCAGATATCCACAATTATTATTTTTGGAAAATTTCACTCTTAAAAACAATAACATTTTTGTTTGTGTAAGGTATTGTCAGTTTTAAAAAAAAAAAAAATCTTAAACTGTATCAAAATGATTAAGGAATGGGACGGTTGCTTCTCAACTGAGCTGAGTCCAATAGTATTAAAAGAGTTTCATATTAGGACTAGCATGAGGTTTGTGCTCTGCACATGTGTGCAGGCATACTGTATTTAATTATCCTTGTCTTCCATATCATGATTGATGAGTAACCAACATGTGTGAAATTCCATTGAGCTTGTAGGTGATGCCTTGGGGACATGCTTTGGGGATACCAGCCTTAGTAAATTCTGTAGAATCTTATAATCCAGTGGTGATATTGTGCATTAGCTTAGCCTATGGAATTGATTCTGTGTACATTAAATGTTGCTAGTGCTCACTCCTTTACTGTTAGTTATCAAGTTACTTTGGTATCTAGTTAGTTATTTAGTTACTTTGGTTATCAAAGAGAGGGTCAAAACAACATCAGAAGCACTCGCAAAGCTATCACTGCAGGAACTCTGCAGCACTACAAACCAGCTGTAGTTGATGGGGCTTTGTGGAGGGCAGCCAGATGGTAGTGGGTGAAGATGTTGGGAGGGAATATTGCTCTACATTGAGCAACAGAGAAGTCAGCTGTGAAGAGATGTTGAATTTCTGATTCCAATTTTTTTTTCTGCTAAGCATGCCATACTCATGGCCAAATTTCTCTATGTTAAATCATACCTTTAATAAAATAGCCTGTGTAAATATATCTATGTGTTTCTTTCCACAACATTTTTGGTGTATAAATTCATAGTATTTACACATCTGTTGACAGTTTTTGAAAGTAAATCTACAGAGTCTTTCAGGAAGTAAATCTTTTCATTAGGGGAAAAAAAAGGAATCCTAATAAAAATACAAGGGAACTTCAGAAAGACTGAAATATGCCATCCATCTTTCATTAATATTTTATTTCTATTTAAAGAGAATAGAGTGGATATATATGTACCCCAAGAATTTACACTCTTTTAGTGATTTTGTAGGTAGGATTTAAACATTAATCATTGCTAGCATAGTACCCTCAAGTCCCTTATATAAAACTATCTATGAAATGATTGAATTTTATCATCAAAACTGAGTTTATCAATGTCCTTACCAATGTTCCCTCTAATTTTTCCTAACCATGTGCTGAATAATTTTTGTTCTGTGTGCCAAGGCATGTGCCGATGTGCATCACCAATAGAAACACATGCTGTTGGCTGTGGACACTTTGGGAACTCTGCTAATCATCTGGGCAGCCTTGGAATATCTCCAAGGTTACACTGGTCCTTACCCATTAAGAATTTTCAAGAAGCTGTTTCAGCAGATTCACTGGTAACCACTGGTTGCTTTTTGAAGTACTAACCACAGTTGGCCAATTACAGCTGATTTGTGTCATTGACATGCATTAGTCAGTGTTACCCATAGTCTGTATATATTTTTTTTCTTTGAAGCAAGCTAACACTTGTTTTGTTTTTCTCCTTTTACAGAAAGATATATGAGGAAGAGTAAGTATCATGCCAACTTTTTTGTTGCTTTTTAGAAATAAAATAAATTTAAATTATCTCCAGATGTTAAAAAATGTTTAAAACCGCATATATGGAAATACTCAGAACAAGAGCCTCATTTTACTAAACTAGGTAATTCTGTGCAGCAACAGAAATGAGATTCCTCCTAGACACTGGTGATAAAGTCTTTGGCTTTTAATTTCTCTTAATCTATCTGGTGTTCTAATTACTTTTGTGCCAGCTTTGCAATATCTTTCAAAACTAGCTTATGAAGCTACTTAATCTGGTTCCCAATCCTTAGAGCCCATTATTTTGTTGCCTCCCCTCAGAGCAGATGTATTTCTGTGATTCTAAAGCATGCTTCCCAAAAAAACCAACAGTGCTGGCGTTTGAAATCCTAGACTAGCAAGCAATAAGCCAAATGCTAGAGATTTGAGATCTGGATTCGAACCCATCTAGTCTCTCTGCGTACATCTATGCAGCAGGGCTAAAACTGAAATAAGCTAGGCAACTTGAGCTACGTCAATTGTGTAGCATAAGTCTAAATAGCTTGTTTTGGCTTTTGGCGCTGTCTACACATCAGGAAGTCCTAGAAAGAGCTCTCTTCCTCCATCTTCCCTTACTCCTCATACAATGAGGTTTACAGAAGTTGAAGTAAGAAGTCCTCCAGCTCGACATTATTTCGACATGTTGAAATAACTGCTTGTAGTGTAGACACAGACTTTGTTATTTTGGAATAACATCAGTTATTTCAAAATAATGCTGCTGTGTAGACATAGCCTCTCAGAATAAAATTCTTTCCAAGCTAATGCCCTAAATAAAGCAATAAAGAAGGGAACATTCCTAAACTGCAGTTCTGGGAGACCCACAAGCTCAGGGTCATCAAAATGGGACAAATGTGAACATATCTTGAGAGGGGTTAAGAAAAGAAAGTGCTTTAACTACAAATTACAATCCTAGGCAAAATATTAATTATGATAGATGTCGTGCCTCGGTGTTCTGTACCTTTGGTGGTCTGAACTGTCAGTGTCAGCGTCATCTGGTCAGGGTCATCCAGGCACGCTCTTGACAGGACCTCTACTCCGTCAATGATGATAAACTTTCGGCTGCGTGCATAACAATCGGTACTTCCTTTATCTAGAGTGTTAGACCCCGTGCACTTGAGTCAACACAGGAGATCTCTGAGAGGCCCCGGAAACGACAGATACAGGCCAGGTTTAAAATCAGTCGAGCATGTTTATTATCAAATGTGAAGCTCTACCAGTTGGTAACAGAGATCAGTACAATGTTACACCACTGGGCACTATGACCCGCGTTGACAAGGTACCAACACCAGGTAGGCCTATTGCCATATAACAGATATTAACAGCAGTTAGTCAAAGTTAAGCTACTGTGCATTCTGTAAGTTTAGGCAATGACACCTGCCGTTCAGCTAGTATGCCCCTCCCAAGATTGGCCGGCGAGCACCTTTTGCGGTGTCCTTTTATAGACACGTACAAACAACTTACATCACTTCTTTACGTACCAGGTTGCCACCCTCTGTTGCCTAGTTACCACCCCTCACCTTACGGAAGGGGGGCTTATTTACTATCCTTCATGCTGTCAATCTCGACCCGGTCCTGAACCTAGGTCGGTAGGTGCATTAGTTTTTAGGGAGTCTTTGTACCAAGACATTTCTTATTAAGATGTTCCGTTACTCCCCTTTGGCTCACAGTCTGTACCCAGTGCCTTACATGCTCTATCTAACTTACACAATTACAGTTATCAGTAGGCCTCTCTCTCGGCTCCTGTGTTACTGAACCAAAGTTTTGTTCACTAGACTGCAGTCCTGTTGCTGCTTTCATCTTACAGGCCTCTATTTAGGCCTGCTGACTCCTTGTTACTGACCCTCAACTTACTATATTAGATAAAATTGGTCTGCAAACACCTGACAGGAGTGGGGAAGGAAATCTTAAAAGACAGGAAATTCTAAGTTAAGGGTACAGTTATGAAAAAAAAAAAAAGAAATGGTTAAAATTGTGACTGTGTATGTGTGTTTGCAGTACTGCTAGTTACCAACAGTTCAAATATAATGATTCAGGCCCCCAAAATTAGGAGATAATGTTAAAAATCATTGAGATTTAAAAATAAAATTAATGCTGGATCCTCTTTACTTACTTCTTGGCATTTTGAATCTCTAGAGATCATGTTTTCAAGCTTCTCTCTTTTTTAAATGAAAGTTCAGCCAAGACTTCACTAGCTGGGGCCTTAAGTAAATACCAAATATCATTAGACTAGTAACAAAAGGACTATTGGCAACACTGGGACTATGTCTAAACTTCAATGATTTATTGGAAAAAGGTACACACGCATATTGTGGTCCTCAATTTGCGTACCTTTTCCCATCTACACTGGGCCACATTTTGGAAAAACCTCCTCTTTTGGAAGAGTCCTTCTTCCTCGTGGAATGAGGAAGACAGGGTTCTGAAAGAGCATATCTGCTCTTCCGCAAAAAAAAGTGGAAGAGCAGACACGTTCCCTGGACTACGCCCATAGTGTAGACATAGCCTGAGAGCAGGAATAGTGAGAACTGGCCACCCTGGCTGTGTCTAGACTACACCTCTCTGTCGACAGAGAGATGTAGATTAGGCATGTCGAAATTGCTAATGAAGTAGGGATTTAAATATCCCGCACTTCATTAGCATAAACATGGCCACCGCTTTTTTTTTCAAAATGGAGCTTTTTCAAAAAAACTTGCAATCTAGACACGGATCTGTCGAAAATAAACCCTTTTTCGACAGACCCTATAATCCTCATGTTTTGAGGAATATAGTATCTGTTGGGAAAGGGTTTATTTTCGACAGATCCGTATCTAGACTGCTGGGTTTTGTTTTGTTTTGTTTTGTTTTTTTGAAAAAAAAGCGGCTGCCATGTTTATGCTAATAAAGCACGAGATATTTAAATCCCTGCTTCATTAGAAATTTCAACATGCTTGATTTGTATCCCTCAGTCGACGTAGCCCTTGACTTGCACTGTACTATCAAAAATTAACATGCACTTTTCTCCCTCAAAGAATGTCCAATAGAAACACGTAAATTGTGAGTTTCTCACTGAGTTTAAATTGAAGGATCCATAACCAGTTACCTCTTAGAGGCCAAACACTGCTTGGCCCTTCTGTGGTTGTAATGGGTGTAAGGAACCATTCTCCTGTGCAAGGACAAGACATAATCACAGTCCATGCACTCAGGAATGCTGCACTTTTCTCCCTCAAAGAATGTCCAATAGAAACACGTAAATTGTGAGTTTCTCACTGAGTTTAAATTGAAGGATCCATAACCAGTTACCTCTTAGAGGCCAAACACTGCTTGGCCCTTCTGTGGTTGTAATGGGTGTAAGGAACCATTCTCCTGTGCAAGGACAAGACATAATCACAGTCCATGCACTCAGGAATGCTCA